CCTCCTAGCTCTTTCCTCTATTTCCCTTGATTCTCCTCCTGTCCCACTATCATGCTCAGTCCCCACCAGGATTTCAGCACTTCCTCTTTGTTACCTTCCCCTTGATCCTGCCCTACCAAGTTATATCCTTTTCCACTGAATAATACTCCATTGTATGGCTATGCCACAATATACTCATTCACACATAGCAGGATATTTTATTTTCATTTTTTGGTAATTATGAGTAAAACTGCTATAGTCACCTTTGTGCAGGATTTTCTGTGGACATGTGAGTAATTCAAGTAGGAATAAAATGTTAGATCATAATGTATGCTGCGTTTAGTTTATTAAACATATTTAGACTGTCTTCTACAGTGATTGTACTATTATATATTTCCACCAGTTATTCCGTCAGGAATTCCTATGGTTCTACATAGTCACTGGCATTTGCTGTTGTGAACATTTTAGATTTTAGTTATTCTAAATGGTGTGTATTGTTATGTTTATTTATAATTGCCTGGTGACATATGTCAAGCATCGTTTCACATGCTCGCATTTCTTATATCTCCTTTGATGAAGTGTCTACTTAGATCTTTTGCTATCTTTGTGTTATTGTTTTCTTCTATGTCAGCTATGTGCTTCACAACTATTTCCTCGTAGCCTGTGGCTTCTCTCTTCATAGTCTTGCAAAGAGCAGAAGTTTTCATTTTAATGAAATCTAACATACCTTTTCTTTCAGGGAGTCTTTGATTGTCGCCATAAATTTTGAACCCAACAAAGTGTCTCATCTGTCTAAACTTTAGTACCAATTTTTCTTAGTCAGCCCACACATTTCAGATAGTGTTTATACCAACTAGTTGAAAATCCAGAATAAAGGCAAAATATGTTGGCTAGCAGAGTTAAGAAGAAACGATAGATCGGGTTTACATGACTTAATATGAGGATCTGACTCCATCCATACTTAGTCAAACTTCTCTGATCTTTTCAGGTTTGTGCAAAACAATACCCCTGGTTTGTTTCTATTTGGGTAGGAATTTCTCTTTATGTGAATAAGCGGATGAAGAATTTATAGTTATTGTTCTGGTGTTCTCTTTGATTTGTAGTGTTGTATTATAAAATTAAAATGCACTTATTTTTTTTCCACCCTCTCCCTTACATTTTCTCGTTTTGTTCGCTAAATATGGTAACTAGGAATCACAACAATCTAACCCACTGCCATGGAGCCAATGCAAACTCAGAGCACCCCTCTGGGACAGAGCAGGACTTCCCCTGGGAGCTTCAGAGACTGTACCGCTTGACCGGAGTAGACAACCCCATCTTTCTCCCCACCGCTATTTACAGTTCTCCTTTAAATGTATCCTGGATTTTTAGTTAGGCATCATCAGTCAGTCACTTGGAGTGTTTCCCAATTGGACATTGAGGAACTGACAAGGGTAAGGTTTCCGGCTCCACGCAGCTCGGAGAAGGAAAACGGAATAAGGCATGTCCGAAGTTGAACTGACTGACCAGAGCTAAGTAAGGCATTCTCGGTATAAACAACTACATGCGGCAATAGTCAGGGTTTTATTATGCAGGTTGGCATATGAGTATTTTATTATAATATAAAAAATAAATTCATTTGAGCAGTCTTTAGACTAGCATGTTAATTTGAAAAGAGAATAAAAATATACACATACGAAGGAAGATGTAACGCTATATAAAATTCACTTAAATGTATCTAATTATGCAAAAGATAGCAAGCTAATGTTACCAGGCTCCTTAATTAAAAATACAAAATGAGTAGTAGTCACGTGTCTAACACTGAAAACCATCCCCATGTCTGTCCTGAGCAGGATAAGGACCAAGGAATAATAGAAGAGAAAATAGGTATTCAACTCCCTAACATGCTTGTATAAGTTCTGGTAGCAACTTGTCAATGACTCTAGATTTTTTTTCTTCTCTTAAAGATGTTGTTTTCAATGAGTAAATGACAATGGACAATAATAGTTTACAATGATTCAATTTTTAAAAATAAAATCTCAGATTTCACAGAAAGACACAGGATAGGCTGTGGGCTGAATTTTTATTTGTGGACTGCATATTTAAAATCAAGGTTTAATATCTTCCTTAAATTGGCAGATGGATATTAATTTGTAATGGTTTAATTTTTAAGCCACAGTAGGAAAATTATTTGTAATCAGAACTTTTCAAATCGTCTCTTGAGACTGTTTGTAGCTGACAGCAGGACTTTGACTTCAGACTAGTGGTATGGAGACCCAATTTTTGAAAAAATAGGAAATCAGCAGGAAATAATCTGAGAGATTAAAGACATATTTAGTGAAGAGGGAATACATTTCTTAAACTAAATTGAAGCATTCATGAAAGAGAGCAGGGTAGATAAGCCCGGAAATGTATGTTGCAATTAAATTCAGGAGAGTTTGAGTAGCAATTCATGAGCATTTGACTTTTTTGGAGTGGTAGAGAGATACTGAATAATTCTGTAGATAGAAGACTGATATGAAGATGCATTAGAAGGTAAAAAAAAGCTTCACATTAAAATATAAAAGAAGGTTCTTTAAAAAAGATAAGCCCTTGATTTGAATGAACTTAATGATAAAGGAACAAAAACCAAACACTGCTATTGAGGTGATGCCAATTCAAAGTGACCCTGTAGGTCAGACGTGGTAGAGTGCTCTTCTGAGTTTCTGGGATTGTAACTGTTTATAGACAGCCTTTCCAGTAGATGGTCACTAATTCAAAAAAGGGTTCCGTTTTGTGTGGACACTCTTAGTGATAATTTGCAGTTAAATAGCAAGTAGCTAGAAAGGGGGAAGGAAAATAAGGTCCTAGAAAACAAACCATCGTTGTTGATTCTATTCTAATTTGTAGTGACTTTATGGAATATAGTAGAACTGCCTCATGGAGTTTTCAAGGTTGTAAATGTTTATATAAGTAGGCTGTCAGATCCCTCTCCCATGACATTAGGTTAGCCATGCAATTAGGTCAGCAGGGGAGTGCTTTAAGCACTGTTTTAATAAATTGTAGTCTATAATAAGCAATCTGATTAGATTAGGAAGGGGAAGTCTGATCTAAATATATAAAAGGCTTCAAAAATTATGGGAAAATGGAATTCAAATATAAAGGAATGTTTTCCATGACCTGTTGGAAACTCCTTCATATTGATAGAAGGTCCAGTTTACATAGAAAACAGGTTCCCCAATATATGTATTAAAAGAGTTGAGAAAGAAATGAAATCAGAGTCACGGGCTTCATTCAAAATAGCAGAGTTAATTGTCTAATAATGTATTTTTAACAAAAATCTGTTCATACACTATCTTCACTGACTGCTGCTTCCTTTTTCTTTTGGTTTTAATTAATTCTCCTTTGGAGTTTCCTTGGATGAAACCTACAAGAAGAAAAGAAACAAATCATGACAAGTTAAAATAGTTTAGTATAATATTTTTAAAAGAATGAATAGTATTAAATATTAAAAGAGTCAAATATTTCATTTCTAAAATGGATTATTTTTCTATGAGGGCATACAGGAGGAACAGCAATGAGTACACCCAGCAATAGTATCAGACGGTCATAGAAAAGGGTACCTTTTTGAGGTAAAGCAGATTTTCATATCTTAAATTCATTGACTGTTTCAATAAACACATGACTCTAAAACTAATTGATAAAAACAATATCTTTTTTACCTCTTTTACAAGACTTCAGACATGCTCTTTTGGTTGTAAAATTGTTTTCATTGCCTCCACATCCACTGTATTTAAATGGGCGGCATTTCCCAATACTTGAATTGTAGTAGAACCTGGTCTCATTGGCTCGACACAATCCTCTGTCTGCTGGGGTGAGACACCAGGATGGACTACGGAATCCTAAGAATATAAAGAGAACATGGTAAGTCAAATATGACGTGAATTACTACTTGCTTGCTACATATTGTTGACAGATCGGTTTTCTGGCAAGTCTATGTAAAACAGTAATCTGAAAGAATAAGGGTAATATTTAATAAAAAATCCATGTAATTCAATTCAAAGAAAATGATTGACCATTTTCCTGGAATCTGCATATAGAGTTATTTTTCTAAGGAAAAAAATAGATAAATATACTCAAAAGACAGCATGAGGATTACATTTACTATAAACAAGATAGTTGCATGAAAGAAAAATGACGGCCATGCAATTTAGCTTTTTAACATTTGAAACAATTTTCTTCTTAAACTCTTCATATTTATGTATCATTTGTTCATGAAGTGTTCAACTTTGAGAAGAAAATCCCGGTGGGCAAAGTCCTGATTCATAAATAATTAAGTTGAAGAAGAGTTTCTTCTTTTGACGAAGATAATTTCTGAATGATGTAACAATCACTATGCAACATGGAAGGATTCATGTGTAGTAATTTTTAACTTTAAGCTTCAGGGGAGAAGAACAGAAAATATTGTGTGACTTTTTCTTGTGAAATGAAGCATCGCTTCTAGATGAGTTAGATGGTTTTTAAAAGAGAGCAGCATTGCTAAAATCATTAACATACAAACAACTGGCTCACCAATGGAACCGACTACTTCCAAAGACAACAACAACAAAGAAATATCGAGGGTAATTAAGGAACATTCAGTCACAGAGGAAAAGCCCAGAAACTGCTGCAGTCTCAGGAAAGGTTTAGTTCTTTGGGAAATTCCTGTGGATGGCGAGAAGCTGGCCTCTTTGGGAGTACGACGATGTAATGGCTGGATGTGAAGGAGCTGATAATTCTACAGGTAAGCAGTCAAGTGGCAAGGAATCAATTATTAGAAGATTTTAGTAACTTTGACAAATGGGAGAAGGTGGCACCATAAATGCAGCTGAAGAGAACGCTAAATATTCAACATTGGAAGAAAGCAGAACTTTGAGGAATCCAGGAGCCAAAGAAGGTAAATTGCACAGAAAGCGAAAGGTGGTCTGATGACAAATGAACCCAGATGAATAGGCGGTAAGACAAAAGCAATGATTTTAGAGAAAACAACCCCACAATTCATATATATATATATATATAATCAGAACCTGCCTTCAAAAATTTTAAATGAACTTTAGAATGGTGTGATGGATAGGTATGAGCACTGGAAGACATTTGGGGAAGTATAAGTGACAAATACTAGGACAAGAGCATATGAGAAATGTATAGAAAGGTAATATTCTTGAATTCCTTGGTTACATGAACTGTAATTATGTAAACAATTGTAAGTTTATTTCAGACTTGATAGAGGTCTTTAAACACTTTGTGTCAAATTAAAGTATTAGGTTCTCTGCAATAACCATTGTTCAAAATCTTGTAGCCTAACTTATTTACCTCACTTTATGTGGGGATTGCGATGTCATTTTATATTGTGCGTCATTATACATTAAATTGTATAGGACTAAGAATGCTTTGGATGTATGCTTGAAAGAATGCTTTAAAATGTATAGGACAAAGAATGCTTTTGAGCTTCTAGAAAAAGTTAATGCCTCCTGTTATTAAAAATGGTTTATATGGGAAGAACAACTCTATCAAGTCAGAAAGCTTCTTGTAACCAAACCGTACTGCTATGCAAAAGGTTGCCAATGTGTGTTCTATGAAGTCTCAGCAGAGTTTGAGACAGTTATCAAGTGCTTCCAACTTTATCTCCATCAGCTCCAAAGGTGCATATTCAAATGTAAAAGGAAGCAAGCAAAGGTAGTCAGCCTGGTACAAGAAGCCAAAGAAATTGCTATTTTCTTGTCTTTCAACATGCATTCACAATTGCCTCATAGTTAGTGTATGGAAATGCATAAGTATGATGAAATCATAGGACCTATGCATCAAGTTTACTCTTTATATACACAACGTATTTTCCTATAGCTAAGAGCAGAAAGGAGCATGTATAAACAGCACATTTCTTTACACATGTTAGTTACTATATTTTAAAAGCAATGCCCTCCCTCACACCCTTTGTTTTAGGGCAGTGCAATTGCTGATGACAGGAAATGAATTCTTCTTTCTTTTCTCTAAAACACAACCTACAGTAAGTGTGCTTTTAACAAAACTCATGGTATTTCAACTGAAAGCAAACTAACCTGATTCATTCTCGAGCTACAGTCTATAGGATAGACATCTATTTGAAGGAGCCTGTGTTATTAGAAACCAGCATATCACACCAGGCAAAAGTTAGAAACAAAATGGGCCTTTCCCGTGGCCCATAACTTTTAGGAGCTATAACAGAGTTGGTAGGAGGGACGTACCCTAGCTTGTCTTCATTCTGCTCTGGAATCTTCTATCGGTGTCTACTACTGATTAAATTCGTTAACTAGACTCACTCACAAGGCATAATACAGGGTGTGGGGAGAGTGAAGGGTGGATTTGAGGGAAAAGAGACGGGTACCAGCAAAGGCATAATCAGAACAAATCTCACTGTGAGATTACTTGATTTCTGACGCAAAGGGATCCGACATGCTGCCTCTGGCAGCCTGGTAACTGGTATGCAGATTTTAACTATTACAGATACTTCCTCTACTCAGAGTCTTATGCTAATCTTTCATCTAATTCACTGTTTTCCCTGAGTTCAGGGACCACCGGTAAAGCTTAGACCCAGATCGCTTGTGAGCCTACTAACACTAGAAATAAAAAAATCATTTTTGATAGGGGTATAAAATTGGGAAGATGTTGCATCATGCATTTAACTTTGGAAATTAAAAAAAATGAAATAAATTATCACCAGGTGGTGGGTTATATCTATGTGAACCAATTCACGTAAAGCTATCTTAACTCTGAGTACCAAGACTATCATTGGGTTAATAGCACAGATTACAGTACAATAAAGTAATGACAATTTCTCATGGATCTTTTTGAATCCTTAATTGTCATTTAGTTAAATCTTTATAAAAGAATAGATAGAAAATATTTGGTTCCCTATGAGGAGATCCGTTTGATTATGTTTTAATAAAAAGTTATTATAGATAAACATAGACACTCACCTATTCAAAATCCAGACTTTGATATCTACAATGAAAGAAAATATACAGGCTAGTTGTACAATGTCATTATGTTTGTCTAGATGACAATTATTCACAGAAAAACTTTAGAATAAAAAGACACTGACCTTTTGTTCATTTTCCAAAGTGAATTTAATAATCAAATGGATTCTGTCTTGATTGTGTCATTAATGCAAGTTGGATAGCTTCCAGGTAGAGGGCTTTGGATAAGTCTTTAAGTCCAGGAACCACACTTTTCATTTTTCTGCGTGTGTCAGCAATGTCCAAAATGCAGTGTTATTGCTGAACAGGAAGGTGGTGTTCCACAGCCACGTCTCCATGTTGTTAGATGTCACTGAGTCAGTTCTGGCCGAACGTGACTGTATGCACAACCGAACGAAACGCCGCCTTGTCCCACACCATTCTCTCAATCGTTCCTATGCTGGAATCCATGGTGGCAGCCACTGTGTCAATCTGTCTGGTTGAGGGCCTTCCTCTTCTCATTGCCCCTCCCCTTTACTCAGCAGGATGATCTTCTCCGGGGACTGTTCTCTCCCGACAACACACCCAAAGTATGGGAGCTGAAGTCTCTCTATCCATGGCCCTGAAGAGCACTCGGCTGTTCTTCTTCCCATACAGATGTGTTTGTCCTTTGGGCAGCCCAAGGTCCCTTCACTATTCTTCACCAGCACCACCATTCAAATACAGTGTATCCTCTGGTTTTTCTTATTCGATGTCCTACTTTCCCATGTATCTAAGAAGATTTAAAATACCATACCTTGGTACTTTAGCTTGGGTCAGGTGCACCTTCGGCCTCAAAGTAACTGCCCCGCGTTTCAACATTCTAAGAGGTCTTATGCAGCAGATTTATGCAATGCAATGCCTCATTTTTTCTCTTGACTGTGGCTTCCATGAGCATTGATGGTAGATCCAATCAAGAAAAAAATAAATCGTCAACAATTTCAACCTTTTATCCATTTATCATGGTGTTACCTATTAGTCCCTTGTGAGGATTTTGGTCTTCTTGACAGTGAGTTGTAATACATACTGCAGCCTACAAACCTTGATCTTTCTTCATCAGCAAGTGCTTCAAGTCCTACTCACTTTCAGCCAGGAAAGCTGTGTCATCCACATATCAGTTTGTTAAAAAAACCTTCCTGCGATCCTCCAATACCACATTCTTTTTCATATAATTCAGCTTCTCTGATTATCTGATCCACGTACAGATTGAATAAGTATGGTGAGAGAATACAACCATGATTCATACCTTTTCTGATTTTGAACCATGCCGTATGTATGCCTTTGTTCTGTTTGCACAACTGCCTCTTGACCCGTGTGCAAGTTCTACATGAGCAAAGTTAGAGGTCTCGAATTCCCATTCTTCTTAAGCCTATCCATAGTTTCTTCTGATCCACACAGTCAAATGCCTTGGCACAGGCGATAAAACCCAAGCAAACATCTTTCCGGTATTCTCTGGTTTCAGCCAAGATCCATCTGATTAGTATCCATCAGCAAAGATATCCGTTCTCCCATGTCCTCTTTTAAATCTGGTGTGAACCTCTGGCAGCTACTTGTCAATGCACTGCTGCAATAGTTCTTGGATGATCTTCAGAAAAATTGTACTTGCGTGTGATAATAATGATATTGTTCTATAATTTGAGCATGCTTTTGGTCACCTTTCTTTGGAATAGATACAAACATGGATCTTTTCCAGTTAGTTGGCCATGTAGCTATCTTTCCTGGCACAGACAAATAAGTGATTGCAGGGCTTCGTCAGATTATTGAGACATTTCCCTTGGTAGGCCATCACCTCCTTATTTTTGGAGCCTTATTTTTGGCTAGTGCTTTCAGTGCAGCTTCAACTTCTTCCTTCAGCACCATTGAGTCTTGCTCATATGTTCCCTCCTGAAATA